CTTAATAAGGAATCGTTCAAGACACTGTACACTGTGTATGTTAGGCCCATACTGGAGTATGCAGCACCAGTCTGGAACCCACACCTGGTCAAGCACGTCAAGAAGTTAGAGAAAGTACAAAGGTTTGCAACAAGGCTAGTCCCAGAGCTCAAGGGAATGTCGTACGAGGAAAGGTTAAGGGAAATCGGACTGACGACACTGGAGGACAGAAGGGTCAGGGGAGACATGATAACGACATACAAGATACTGCGGGGAATAGACAAGGTGGACAGAGATAGGATGTTCCAGAGAGGGGACACAGGGACAAAGGGTCACAACTGGAAGCTGAAGACTCAGACGAGTCACAGGGACGTTAGGAAGTACAGTGGACCCCCGGTTAACGAACTTTTTTCATTCCAGTAGTATGTTCAGGTGCCAGTACTGACCGAATTTTTTCCCATAAGGAATATTGTGAAGTAGATTAGTCCATTTCAGACCCCCAAACATACACGTACAAACGCACTTACATAAATACACTTACATAATTGGTCGCATTTGGAGGTGATCGTTAAGCGGGGGTCCACTGTATTTCTTCAGTCATAGAGTTGTCAGCAAGTGGAATAGCCTAGCAAGTGAAGTAGTGGAGGCAGGAACCATACATAGTTTTAAGAAGAGGTATGACAAAGCTCAAGAAGCAGAGAGAGAGAGGATCCAGTAGCGATCAGTGAAGAGGCAGGGCCAGGAGCTGAGTCTCGACCCCTGCAACCACAATTAGGTGAGTACAATTAGGTGAGTACACACACACACACACACACACACACGACTGCACTTTTTTGGACTGCAAGAAGGCCTTCGACACAGTTCCTCACAAGAGGTTACTGCAAAAGCTAGAGGATCAGGCACACATAACAGGAAAGGCACTGCAATGGATCAGAGAATACCTGACAGGGAGGCAACAACGAGTCATGGTACGTGACGAGGTGTCAGAGTGGGCGCCTGTGACAAGCGGGGTTCCACAGGGGTCAGTCCTAGGACCTGTGCTGTTCTTGGTATATGTGAATGACATAACGGAAGGGATAGACTCAGAAGTGTCCTTGTTTGCGGATGATGTGAAGTTAATGAGAAGAATCAAATCGGATGAGGATCAGGCAGGACTACAAAGAGACCTGGACAGGCTACAAGCCTGGTCCAGCAACTGGCTCCTTGAGTTTAACCCTGCCAAATGCAAAGTCATGAAGATTGGGGAAGGGCAAAGAAGACCGCAGACACAATATAGTTTAGATGGCCAAAGTCTGCAAACCTCACTCAAGGAAAAAGATCTGGGGGTGAGTATAACACCGAGCATATCTCCCGAGGCGCACATCAATCAGATAACTGCTGCAGCACACGGGCGCCTGGCAAACCTATGGATAGTGTTCCGATACCTCAGTAAGGATTCGTTCAAGACTCTGTATACCATTTACGTCAGGCCCATACTGGAGTATGCAGCACCAGTTTGGAATCCACACCTAGTCAAGCACGTCAAGAAATTAGAGAAAGTGCAAAGGTTTGCAACAAGACTAGTCCCAGAGCTACGGGGATTGTCCTACGAAGAAAGGTTGAGGGAAATCGGCCTGACGACACTGGAGGCCAGGAGGGTCAGGGGAGACATGATAACGACATATAAAATACTGCGCGGAATAGACGAGGTGGACAAAGACGGGATGTTCCAGAGATGGGACACAGACACAAGAGGTCACAATTGGAAGCTGAAGACTCAGATGTATCAAAGGGATGTTAGGAAGTATTTCTTCAGTCATAGAGTAGTCAAGCCATGGAACAGCCTAGAAAGTGAAGTAGTGGAGGCGGGAACCATACATAGTTTTAAGGCGAGGTATGATAAAGCTCATGGAGCAGGGAGAGAGAGGACCTAGTAGCAATCAGTGAAGAGGCGGGGCCAGGAGCTATGACTCGACCCCTGCAACCACAAATAGGTGAGTACATACACAGTTACATGTATCGTGTCCTCTTTGCCACAGGAAGCCAGTCTGCTGTATGTGATCCTCTTCCTTATTTTGACTGGCTATTGCCTTTCGCATTCGTGTTAGAGCTGGTTGACTGGTTTATTGTTTTAAAGCCTATCGGCTACACGAGGGCCATTAATGCTGCATGTAACTTTTCACCATCGGTAATGAATATACTGTTCCTTAAAATAAGGAAGTATATTCAAAGTCTTAGTGCATAAACATCGAGAGACATACTCTGTGTGTGTACTCACCTATTTGTGGTCACAGAGGTCGAGTCAGCCCCTTAGGATGTCTGAGGTACTGGACCTGGGAGAGCAGTGTTACTTACAATAATGAGATAGCGCTGCCATCACCAGACAGCTGTCGTGAAGTCATTGTTAACGTCTTAAGACACTGCAAAAAAGTGTCTTTTCTTGGTTAATTAATACAGTTAAATGTGCTAGCTTTAGTTACCAGTCCCCTCAAGGGAGGTTCCTTGACGTTGGTGAGGGGCTCTTGATCTAGGGAATTGGATCTGTGTTCCGGTTCCCTGAATTAAGCCTGAATACCTTCCACATCCCCCCCATCCACAGACGCTGCATAATCCTACGGGTTTAGCGCTCCCCTTGATTATAATAATAATAATAATTTAGTTACCAGTACATGTATATATTATTATTATTAGAGTTTGCATATATTATGTAGTTTGTTTGTGGTGGCTGGATAGAGTTGTTAAAGGTTTATTTGAGCGCAGAACTCTGCATCATAGTTGTGTATCCCCTCAATTAGTTCTTTGATGCTGCTGAGGGGCTCTTGATCTGAGGAATTGGACCTGTTCTCCAATTCCTTGAATCGAGCCTGAATACCTTCCATTCCCCACAAGGCTTTGTATGATCCTTACAGGTTTAGCGTTTCCCCTATGAATATAATCTTCATGTCTTTCATTAACTTGAGAACGCTTGATTCAGTGGCCTTAAATTTTTTAGCACTAGAATGCTGTAATTATGGGACTGCTTCATGAAACTAGTGGCAGGTTTCATATAGTCATTATTACAAACTATTACAGTCTTTCCTTTTTATCCTGAGCAACATTTGTTTAATAGTGCCATTCATCCTCCCGTGAACACTGCCATGAAATCAATACATTAATGCCCTAACAGATGACATGCCAGTGGTGATATCAATTTATCCCTGGCCATTTCACCATCCTGGTATTGCTACCTACACAGTTACATTCATGGTGGGGGAAGCGTTATTTCTGTAGGGATCATTGAGGGGGAAAACCCTCCCCTCCATTTCAAGAGTATTGACCATCAGTTTTTTAATATTCACTTTTTTCTTTACAAAAGTTTCATGTAATGCTTCATTAAATATAACAATAACATCCACAACAATGTGACAGCATTTTGAATGTAAATTACTTCCTAGCATATCCACATTTTTTAAATTTTCGTCTGTTACAATGTTTCTCCAAACATGTTTGTTCTCCAAAGCCATCTCCTGCCTCTGAGAGAATCACCTTAGTTGACAATTCAGCAACTGTGACTGTTATTCCATTCATGGGTGTTGGGGAATAAATCCATAGGAGTCATACAATACCTGAGGAAATGGGAGGCAATCAAATTCAGTCCGAGAATGGGGATATTAGATCCAGTTCCTTGAATCATGAAGTCTCACCAGCATCAAGGAACCTCCCTTGAGGTGCATATTTTAATCATGGGGAAGCACTTAATTAACCCCATGGAGTTATACCGTGCCTGAAGAATGGGAGGCATCAGGTTTGAACTGAGGAAATGGAGGGTAGCTCTAACTCCTTGGATTAAGAACCCTTCAGCTTCAAGGCATCCTCATCAATGAACAAAAGTGGTAAAGGACTGGTGTGCTCCTCCTGTCATTACATGCTGCAGAATCAGGATGTGTGAATATTCACCTTGTATGGGGCGTGAGAATTCCAAGGACTAGCAAATGAAAATGAGCAAGACATATACTCATTCTCTGTGTGTGAAGCTCTAAACCCATGTGGGTTATTCAACACAGGACATGGTGGAGGCTCGACCCTCTGTCTGCAGAATGTCAGGAGCCGTGACCTGACCCCTGCAACCACAAATACATGAGTACACTGGAGCAACAGCAGCAGCCATCAGTGCTTTAATGGTCTTGTGATGCACATCAGAGACAGACAGTGTGCCACCCTTTGTTGGGTATAAGGACACCAATGATCCATTGACCTCTGCCACTCAAATACTGGAGACAGTTTATTATATTCATGGGGAACCACTAGACCCTCAGGGGCCATAGAGATCTGTGGGAATGGGAGGTAATAATGTTTGATACAAGGAGGGTAGCTCCAGTTCCTTGGAACAAGAGCTCTTCACTTGCATCATGGGAACCCCCTCCCCTTGTATTGGTTGTACACTGAAGCAACAAAATCAAATGTTAGGCTACACAAGACTATGGGATAGTCAGAGGGTAGCCTTGCTGGAAATAAACTAGACCCACTTTATATGATATACTGGAGGCAAGTAGATTTAATTTGAGGAAGTGAAGGGCATCTCTTAATTCCTTCATCAAGAGCCCTTCACTATCAGTAAGGCAGCTTCATTAAAAGGCATTTGTAAGACAAGTCTACTTTGAAAATGATAAAACAAGGATGGCCATAATCCCTAGTCTAGCTTGAATAAGACCAACTTATTAGTCTCTGAAAGGAATCAACTGATAAGCAGCAACGGATAAATTGTGAAATCAATGTTGATACTGGAGCAGTTTTGAAAGGTCCAAATGCATTGGATACCAGTCCAGCACAGGAAGCACTGAACAAAGTAAACTGCCTTTGCTAACTCATATGGGCATACAGGATACCCATCTCTAACCATCCTGCAGAGATAATGGAGTACTGAATTTCAGAAAATCACTTAAAAAATCAGAAATACCTGTAATGTAAATGCAAAATATCAAATCCATAATGCCAAAATATTGGACTAACATTATAGATGGAGAATGAAAATAAATTATTAATATAACATTTGTATTAAAAGATTCAGAAAATACAGTTGTAATACAAAACATTCACAATTTAAAAAAAAAAATTAACCAAACTATTCATAAATTGTAAAAACATAAACACATGAACCAAACTGAAAGTGAAGCTAACAAATCGCTGCATGTAATTAACAATACCAAAAACCTACAGCATGACTGACATTGTTGGCACTCTTCAGCAAAATAATTTTGTTGCATAATTTCTGCATATGTAAAAAATTACATTACTTCTTTGCATACATTCTATCTAAATGATAAACTAGTTTCTTTTAAAAATTCTATTAAGACATAAAAAAGATCTTTTTTTGCTTATCCAATTGTAATTTCACAAATGTAGCCTAGTTTACATTTTTTTTTTTTTAACACATCGGCCATTTCCCACCAAGGCAGGGTGACCCAAAAAGAAAAAAAAACTTTCATCATCATCATTCAACACTTTCACCATCACTCATATGTAATCACTGTCTTTGCAGAGGCACTCAGATACGAGGGCGAGGGCCTTGGACTTCCAGCAAGGATGCACGAGCGTGTTAAATAGGAGTGAATGGAGACGAAAGTTTTTTGGGACCTGATGAACTGTTGGAGTGTGAGCAGGGTAATGTTTTGTGAATGGAAACCAGTTAGCCGGACTTGAGTCCTGGAAATGGGAAGTACACTGCCTCTACTTTAAAGGAGGGGTTTGGGATATTGGCAGTTTGGAGGGACTTTTGAACTGAATGATGATGAAAGTATTTTCATTTTGGGGGTTTTCTTTCTTTTTGGGTCACCCTGCCTCGGTGGGAGACGACCAACGTATTAAAAAAAAAAATGATAGAGAGGTATATTATGATGGGCAGCAAGGTTTAGTCCAGCAGATTTTCTTAAAGAAGCAAATCGTCTCTTAAATATGAGATACAACAATGCTAATTACTATGCTAACATGGTATTCACAAAACCACAAAACTTTTCTTAAGTATTTTAAACAAGTTAGGATGAAAAACATAAATGCTAACACCTTTTCCAATGGTATGAAGAAATTATGGATAATTCAATGGCATGATTGAGGTCTTGATTACCACAAGTATCTATAGGCACATTTTTTATACCGGGTCACTAAGTGCATTTATTTACAAAAGACTATATTTTTAATGTATTTTTTATGTTTAATATCATGTACCATACATAAAAATAATACCAACATATTGAAGAAATGTAACTTCAAAATGCATTTAACATCAAAATGAAAAGTTAAAAAACATCTTTTTCTATACAAGGAAATCATAAAAATTTTAATACTTAAAAAACTCAAATGTGTCTTCACTGACTATGATACCATAAATCAAAATCTTAATTACAAATAGCCAAAAAGTTGATCTTCATCTATGTTTAACATAAAGAGGTATAATGCAAATTCCTGTATATCAAACCATAGCACTTTAATGAGGCCATATCTTGTAATTTGTTATCAAGCTTATACAGTACCTGTATACTAATAAATATACTTTCAAGGATTGGTAACGAATCTAAAATATTTAGCTAAAATACTGAGTATTGATACAATATGAATGAGAGTATTTTATTCTATTTTGTGTTCGTATTTTAAATGATTTATATAAAGTTTTCAGTGAATGTCTCGACAAAACTTTCAAGCTAATACTTAAAGAATTTCACAGCCTTTAAACATAGTTTCCATTTTATAGGATGACAGACCACAAGAACAGAGAGCAAACTTCATCAAAAATGTTGAAATGGCTGGTTGTATGCAAAAACTAAGTACAGACAACTCTCTCAGTACCAACAATTATTACACCTAGACAAAATAACGTAATTGTACACTATTTGTATAATTATGTACATACTACCAGTTTCCTTTTCAGTTTAGAGAATCAGTATTTCCTTATCTATTATTATGAAGAACATTTACTACACTACAGTCAACAGAATCACAGACCAAGCACTACCAGTCTAGTAAATCATCCACTGCTTCACCAACTTTAAGTGCTCCTTGTGAGTTTTAAATTGACAAAAATTTTGATCTTCCTTCTACTGAAGTGATTCCATTCTTCCATTCTCACCCACCCTCAAATTAAATCATTTCACTTTCATCCATTCATTCAATATTACAATATCACTGTATTCATAAAGTTTATGATTCACACTTTCACACTCCAGAGCATTATAACTTTTCATTGTATCCTCCTAATACCACCTGTATTCTGTCTACCACTACTGCTCTAACTCTAATTTTAATGCTCCTACCACACCAGGATTCTACTTCCATGCTCAAGGGTTGCCACAAGCACTCCACTGGTGCCCTCTAGCCATAGTCATCCTTTCTTTTTTTTCTGCTTAAGCATGGCTCTCATTGCATGACTTGATTTGCACCAATTCCTATCATGACAAATTACACAACCCAGGTATTCATAAGCTAATTGCTGCTCTTATCTCCACTACCCTTACTTTTACTTTCACTAATATCTAAATACCTCATTTTCTGTGAGACATACATTATCTATGCACTTAAAATTCATCAGTTACAATATTCACAACATCTCCTAATGCAAAAGTGGGAAAAGGGTGACAGTGTCTGTGGGTTAATGTGGTAGCAGTAATAGAAAAAAAAAATACTAAATTAGGTAGACATCTTAGTAAACGTTTTCTAATGTTCTACAAATTCTATTTATTATACATCTCATGTTCTACAAATACTAGTAATTACACATTTATATTCTACAAAATAAAATAAATCCTATGCAATGCACATTCTTTATGGTTTATAAATCTGACTCATTAACAACCTTGAATACACCATTAAATGCCAATTGCCTTTTGTGCTTTCTGTCCTTTCCTTTCACCGCCATGTCACTACGGTCAAGCAGCTGATTAAGCTCTTCCTTCGTGAAAACTGAAAGCAAAAGAATAATCACTTAAGCATCTACAACTCAGAACAACTAATGGTCCTTAATAATAGCCTACTGGGTACAGCTGTAATTACTATATAAAATGCCAAGAGTTTTCTCTCTAGCCTTAGTGCCTTAATATCTTTAAACCTTAGTCTGAAGTAGTGGTTGTTTTAAAAGCTTCTGATTTACAGTAGAGCATGCCTTACCACTCAATGCTAAGAACTTAAGTCTGATAAGGATGGATGAAAACTAATGTTGAATTTTTTTTTTTTTTTAACAAGTCGCCCGTCTCCCACCGAGGCATAAAATACCATTAAGGAGGACAAAACATTAAGCATGAACAATATGAGTTCATCTCTCCACTATAATACAGTGCTAGTCAGAGACGTAAAGAATGAGGCTCACTGGCTAAAGCTGTAGACCCGACAGTTATAACATTCTCACCCCTAATTAGTTTCCCTGAATCCCTTCATGACTGTTACCTTACACACCAAGAGCACGTCTAGCATCAAAACCAACTCCTCTCCACTCATTCTGATCAAGCATGCTCACACAAGTGACTATTACTCTAAACTTTTACCCCTTCTTTTATCCCTCCTTCCAACCATTCCTAAGAGGGGCCCCTACTCATTTCTTTTACCTCAAATTTATACACCCATGTCATCTTATTCCCCCTCCATCCTTTCTAGCTACTTCTCAGCCCTCTGAATTATCTCCTTGGTGACTCTGAACCATCTAATTTCTATATATCAAATTCTCTGCATAATCACACCCCACACTATAGGGTACCAGAAGCTAAAACCTGATGTAAGAGTGTGCATGTTGGCACATTACACTTAAAAAATTAAATTACCTTTTGTTATGCAAAGTGGTTTATACTTACAACACATACTTGTAAACACATAACCCCAAGACAAAAAATATCCTATATCATACCATGTCCAGTGGTGGTTCTGTGTATTCTATCGTGGTCTCTCTCCTTAAGCAATCTAATCAATTCTTCTTCGTCAATTACTTTTTCAAATACTCGGTCACTCTGTTTGGCTGCCTTGAACTTTCCAGACTGAATGATTAGTTTCTCTAATTTTCGCTTAGTTGCAGCACGCTCAACAATACGCTCATCTACTGTAGACGCAGTGATAAGACGCAGGACCAAAACAGGAGATGTCTGACCAATTCGATGGCAGCGATCTTGGGCTTGAAGATCACTCTGGGGATTCTGTTTCATGAAAATAAAGATATCAAAAAGCACCTTAAAAATGTGAGACATGTAACATGCCTGAGCAGTCTTCAGTGAAGGCTAATAACCAACAATCTTTTTCATGTTTTATGAAAAATTTATGATAAGACAAGAATTTAGTTCAAAATGTTTATGACAATGTAATATCTTATTAATTATGACTGAGTGTCCGAATCAATAAAACACCAGGAGATGATGTATTAACACAAAACAATACAACAGATGACTTACCCAATCAGAGTCATAGATGATAACAGTGTCAGCAGAAGCAAGGTTTATTCCAAGACCACCTGCTCGGGTACTCAGTAAAAACAGAAAATCTGTAGAATCTTTGTCGTTGAATTCCTTGATATCATTCTGCCGATCTTCTAGTGAACAATTACCATCCAAACGCTTGTACCTGAAACCCATGAAAAACTGAGTAATAAGTGTTTAGATTTTTTAAACACCACTGACCTGTGTAATCAAACTACAGTGGTCCCTCGATAACGACGGGAATCCGTTCCTGGAAGCCGGTCGATTATCGAAATGGTCGATTTACGAATCAATTTTCCCCATAAGAAATAATGTAAATTCAATTAATCCGTTCCTGACACCCAGAAGTATTAAAACAAAAAAATTTTTTACATGAAATATTCATGTAGTACATAAACAATACAATGGGAAATGATGAATGAAACATTAGCAGCATAACACTTACCTTTATTGGAGATTCTTCTTAGTGTATGGGAGACTGGAGGAGGAGGAGAGAGTGGATTGTTTATAGTTTGGAAGGGGAATCCCCTTCCAGCAACACCTCAGGTACCATTTGCTTTTCTGGGGTTGCTTCTTTTCTCTGTTTCTTAATGCCACTAGGACCAGCTTGAGTCACTGGAGTCCTGTCTCGCAAAATAACTGTGCAGAGAGCTCTGTTTCTGGCGTCTCTTTAAAACTTCCCTAAAATGGGCCAAGACTCTGTCACTTTACAAGTTGCCGATATGGCTTGCAACATCCTTCTCTGGGTGATGTTTCTCCATAAATCTTTCCATCTTACCCCACATAGTAAAAATCTCCTAAATTTCTGAAGAAGGCACCTTCTTCCATCTCTCTTCCTCCTCCTCTGCAGCAAGATTCTGAGCTGCGATCTGTTGCTCTTCCTGCTGAAGCTCTTGCAGCTCCTCAGTGGTTAGCTCTTCGTTGTGGTCCTCCACCAACTCTTCCACATCCTCCAAACTCACATCCAACCCCATGGAACTCCCCAGTGCCACAATAGAGTTCAAAACTGACATAGGCTCATCAGGGTCAGCCCCAAACCCTTCCAAATCCCTCTTGTCGACACAATCTGGCCACAATTTCTTTGGAGCCATGGTAGCTTATTTGGCACTTAAATAACTTGCAAGCACTAAAATAAATGAAATATTTCACTGGAGCACGTGAGAGGACCGCCGCTAACTGGTAAACAATGGCACACTGGCTGGGAAGGAAGGCTGAGGCGGGTCGAGGCCCGCTTACCTCGTGCATACGCGTCTGGGACGATGGGTCGAGACGGGTCGATAAATGAATTTCGGTCAATTTCCGAGTCAATATTTTGTCGAAAAAACCGGTTGATTTCCGAAATGGTCGACTTTTAGGCCGGTCGATTATTGAGGGACCACTGTATACTAAAGGCAAGGAATGTAATGAAAATGGAAAATGTAGAAAGGAGACAGGACAGAACCATCTAGGATTGGAGAGGGTGAGGGAAAGGGACTAAAACTGCCAAGAATGGCCTAAGAATATCCATTAAGCCAAACTACACCCTTGAACAACACAGAACATCAACAAAGAGTGTAAAGTTCGCAAACACAACAGAGAAACAAAGAGGAACTTGAGAAGGGCCAAAATATATCTAAATTTGTGCCTGAAATGACAAGACAGCTAAAAGATAAAAACTTAAAGCTAGACTTACATTTCCGAAAAAAATGTTCAAGAAGGCATATCGTCATGGTGTAAAAATACTGTGGGGAATAGATAGAATGTATATATATATATATATATGCTTGGAGGTAGTAGGTCTGTAGACAACAACCAGCCAGAGAGGTACTAACGTCCTGCCAAATGAGTGTGAAATGGAAACCTGAACTTGTTGTACATGATGGTAGGATTGCTTGTGTCTTATTTTCTGTCTAATAAACACACAGGATAACAGGTATATGTTGTTACTTTTACTTACACTTAGGTCACACTACACATGCATGTACACACACACACATTTACACACCCATCTGAGTTTTCATCTATTTTCTTAATACAGAGTACAGTGGACCCCCGATAACGATATTATTTCAATCCAGAAGTCTGTTTGGGTGCCGTTATAGACCGAATTTGTTCCCATAAGATATATTGTGAATTAGATTAGTCCGTTTCAGACCCCCAAAAATACACCTACAAAAGCACTTACAAAAATACACTTACATAACTGGTCGAGTTGGGAGCTGATCGTTATGCGGGGGTCCACTGTACTTGTTTTTCTTTATTTCCTCTTATTTCCATGGAGATAAGAGGCAGCTAAAATGCCAGGAGCAAGAGGATAGTAACCCCTTCTCCTGTATAAATTAGTAAATTTAGAAAGTCTTACAATTTTGTTCATCCTTCTAATATTACATTGCGATTATCGTCGTTATTAGCTAAATCGACGAAAATCAGCTTTATATTAATATTCATTTTCATCTTTCTCATTTTTCATTTTATGTATATATATGTATATATATATATATATACATATGCATTGAGGTATATGTGGAGTCAAAAAACGTTATCTATGGAGGCAAAGAAGGGAATGTATGAAAGTATAGTAGTACCAACACTCTTATATGGGTGTGAAGCTTGGGTGGTAAATGCAGCAGCGAGGAGATGGTTGGAGGCAGTGGAGATGTCCTGTCTAAGGGCAATGTGTGGTGTAAATATTATGCAGAAAATTCGGAGTGTGCAAATTAGGAAAAGGTGTGGAGTAAATAAAAGTATTAGTCAGAGGGCAGAAGAGGGGTTGTTGAGGTGGTTTGGTCATTTAGAGAGAATGGATCAAAGTAGAATAACATGGAAAGCATATAAATCTATAGGGGAAGGAAGGCGAGGTAGGGGTCGTCCTCGAAAGGGTTGGAGAGAGGGGGTAAAGGAGGTTTTGTGGGCAAGGGGCTTGGACTTCCAGCAAGCGTGCGTGAGCGTGTTAGATAGGAGTGAATGGAGACGAATGGTACTTGGGACCTGACGATCTGTTGGAGTGTAAGCAGGGTAATATTTAGTGAAGGGATTCAGGGAAACCGGTTATTTTCATATAGTCGGACTTGAGTCCTGGAAATGGGAAGTACAATGCCTGCACTTTAAAGGAGGGGTTTGGGATATTGGCAGTTTGGAGGGATATGTTGTGTATCTTTATACGTATATGCTTCTAAACTGTTGTATTCTGAGCACCTCTGCAAAAACAGTGATAATGTGTGAGTGTGGTGAAAGTGTTGAATGATGATGAAAGCATTTTCTTTTTGAGGATTTTCTTTCTTTTTTGGGTCACCCTGCCTCGGTGGGAGACGGCCGACTTGTTGAAAAAAAAAAAATGTATTTTGTGCTGATGCATCATTTACCAATGATAACCTCCGGTTACTACTCGCCTGACGCGAGCTTACGTCAGAGGTGAGTGGAGTAGAGCAGGCAGTACAGCACCTCTCTCGGTATAGAGAAGGTCTCCACGGCTTACTCCTTTTAACCTAAACGGTGAAGCATTTGGTCTAGAGCTTTATTCGCTTAAGTCACCAGAAATTGTGGAGTTTTCATTATACAGAAGTTCTCTTGTGTAGAGACTTCAAGTTTTCTAAGTCAACAGCCTAATCTCCTTACAAAATAGAGGATGATATAACTTTTTGTTCAACTGAATATTAAAGGTTCATTCAGCTAAGAATGAAGGTCTTCTTAATTTATAAGTGGTATATAAAGTCTGTTTATATATAATTAAGAAAAAGGTACAACAAAATTCCTTAAGTCTATAATGATATCTACTTTATATTAACCCTTTCAGGGTCGACAGGCCCTCTCAGAGACTTGTTCTCAGGGTCGGCCAAATTTCAAAAAAAAAAAAAAAATTATTTTTTCTTATAAAAAGATAGAGAATCTTTTCCCAATCATAATGACACCAAAAGTATGAAATTTCATGGAAAACTTATGGAATTATGCTCTCAAGAAAGTGGTCTCGACGATGTTTACGCATCGGAGATTTTGCCCACTTTGAGCCCTATTTTCGGCCAATTCCAGTGTACTTGTCGACAAAGATCATAACTATTTCCCTAGAATTCCATTTTTTCTATCGAATGAGTACAAGAAACCACCCATTTACCAATTTCAACTATCCAATAGAGTGGTCAGAATTTAGCAATTTTGCCAATTTCACACAAATTTCAAAAGATGCCAATTTCTGAATAGGGTCCAGAATAAACAAGAAAGACATTCCTGGCACTAAAATAACATTTCCTCTGTTCATCAGTCACGTCCCCATGCCCCTCTTACATTCTTTTGCTTTCCACTTTGAATTTTTATTCTCACAAAAAATGGAAGATTTATTGTTATGCAGACAACTGCATTGGTGTAGAAATGGTATAAATATCAGCGCACTTGTGAAAGAATATCATTAGACTCACCAGTTGACGTGTATTGGACGCATAGTATGATTTGTTTACTTTTGAACTTTGGTAAAAATCAAACATTTCTGCTACTTTGAGCTCAATTTCAAGGTACTTTTCTTTGTAAAACCAGTCAAAATCATCTCAATTTCTGTAATATGCCTTCCATTCTATAAAATGAGACCAGGAAAACTAGAATACAACAATAAATACCATACGAAAATACAGTGCAAAGTCACTGTTTTAATCCAAGAACACAGTCAAAGTTTTTTTTTTCTCATTACGCACTGTGTGCTGCAGGATTTTTTTATACCACACACACTGACCACATAGACCCATTCTTTCATATGTAGGCCTACCAGCTTTCTCTCACTAGATTTGAGGGCGCTAGAATTTAGGCGTACTAGTACGTCAAAAACCCTGGTGTGTAAGCCGTACTAGTACGGCCGAAACCCTGAAAGGGTTAAAGATACAAAGTTTTTCGATCTCCTTATAACCTTATTACAATATAACTGGAGAATAATTCTCCATAAAAACTCCCCTAGACTAACAATGCCTATGGTTTATAAAGTTTATCGTAATAAAAGAAAAATTTTCGTTTTTTTTATTAGTCACCCTGTCTGTGGGATTTGGCCGATTCATTGAATAAAAAAATATAAATAAGTTCTTTATTAAAAAAGTACTAGAACGAGAGAACATAAATTGTAACGGCATATCAAAATGAGCCACAGGAATATTCATAAACATTTCAACATGAACTACATACTAGAATGATCTGGGTAATGATAGTATAAGCCAACTCCATATAAGGGCTCAAAAAAAAAAAAAAAAAAAAAAAAAAATTTTTACAAAGATTTCCACATCAATTTAAAATTAAGACAGGGTCAAAAGCCAGAGCTTAACTTATATACACCCTGACAAGGAGGCCAAAACACGTAAGAATCACTGGGTCTGTATATCTGAACCCCCAACTAAAGTCCTCTTTAGCAGACACCCACTCTAGTTGAGGGTCAAAATACAGAGACCAACTTTATTTTCCATGTTTCTGTCCCCATGTGGGTTATCACTTAGCATCGATAAGTATTCTAAGTATGCTTAGAATAAGGACAATAATAAGATTTTTATGCTTCCCTGTAAAATATAAATTTAAAAAAAAAAAGAAAAAAAGGCTAATACAGGAAAAAAATCTTACTTATATTGTGGTCTGAGAGTAAGGTAGTCTTCAAGAATATCCATCAACATGGTCATCTGAGAGAAGAGCAGGACACGGTGCTTACGTTTGTAGAGTTCGCCAAGTAGTTGATCTAGAACTTGCAACTTTCCACTCACTTCTAGAAGACCATTATCCACCTAAAATGATGATGAGTGGGAGAGAAAAAAATGTTTTCAGAGGTAAAAAAATTTTCCACGATGACTAGGGAACTACAGTACTTAAGTGAATAGCATTTACAAAGTATTGCAAAATAAATTTTATAAAATATTTTGATAATTTAATACAGTTTTCAATAATTTGATAATAAATACAGACAATTTTAAGATTATTTTGTTATATACATGCTGAAGTTAAAATTATTTTTCACCATATTTTTTTTAAAATATGCTTAATAACAATTTAGCTACATTCCTGAATACAGTTTACCTTAAATGTGCCATCACTGTTTAAAGGGTAATTTATCAAATATGGATGATTCACAATTTTTCGACACTGCATCATCTTGTTCTGCAACTTTACTCTTATGAAAGAAGTTCTTTTGACTTCATTCCTAAAAGCAGAAACAAAATACTAATACAAAACACTCATTAGCTTGCCTAGTGTATGCAATGTATAGGATATTATAAAATGTATCAACCTCTTGATGAAAGACAGCTAGGAAATGAACAACGATGTATGCATTTCCAACTTTTAGTCACATTACTGGTGGAAAACCTCCTGGCCTAATATTTTTTTACCTGGAACTAAAATGTCTTTTCAAGTGCCCCTTATTGGGAACCAATTAATGTTAAATGAGGCTTGTCTGTTATATTGTACTTCCAGATTGAATAAATAAAAAATACAATAAACAATATTTTCTTTAGCAAAATTATAATGACAAAAAGTTGAGGGTATAGTGTAAAAAAAAAATAGTAAGATATAGATATTAATTTTTAAATCTCACTTACTGTACAGGTTTCTCATGGAATTTTCTCAATCCCTCAATAAATTTGTCGAGGGATTCTTCTGATAAATTGTCTTGCTCATTCATGAACAATGAGTAGTCTGTATCACGCTTTGACTTACGTTTGGGTCTGCCTCTCTTATCATACTCACAAGTTTCAGGCTCACAAGTCTGTAAAATTAATGATTCACATTAAAGTAGAGACAGGCCCTGCTTTACAGCACTTCACCATACAGTATTTTGCTAATACAGTAGTTTTCAATTATACCCATTCTTCATATATTCAGACTTCCTACAATAAATATACATGTATTCACCACTTACTATAAGCTAAGGATAAAAATATTTTAAGGTAAGAAATGTGTGAACTGTATATGAATTTTTTAGTCCTAGCTATATTATTTATTATTATTAACACATCGGCCATTTCCCACCACGGCAGAATGGCCCGAAAAAAGAAAAACTTTCATCATTCACTCCATCACTGTCTTGCCAGAGGCATGCTTACACTACACTACTGCAACAATAACACCCCTCCTTTAAAGTGCCGGCACTGTACTTCCCATCTCCAGGAATCAAGTCTGGCCTGCCGGTTTCCCTGAATCCCTTCAAAAATGTTACCTTGCTTACACTACAACAGCACATCAAGTCCTAAAAACCATTTGTCTCCAATTGCTCCTATCTAACACGCTCACAAAAGCTTACTGGAAGTCCAAGCCCCTCGCACACAAAACCTCCTATATCCCCTCCTTCCAACCTTCCCTAGGTCGACCCCTACCCCGCCTTCCCTCCACAACAGATTTACACACTCTCGAAGTCATTCTATTTCGTTCCATCCTTTCTACATGTCCAAACCATCTCAATAACCCCTCCTCAGCCCTTTGGCTATACTGATCACTAAATATATGATAATGTAAACATGTTATCAGGCTTTTATATGAATTTGAAAGTGAAAAAGTCTGTTTCCCTTTACAGTGATTTTTGCTTTACAACAGTAACCCGGAAGCTAACCTGCTGTATAAGTAGGGTCTCTCCTGTATTAAATACTATTGTTAGGATATTTCACTCTGTGAAGTTTTATTATGTCATGACCTGATAAAGCTTCACAAGGTACACTGTTTCCCAAATACAATAAAAGCTTTTCTACAATATCTTTTCTTCGTTACTGTCAGGAATAAATCATTTGTATCCCACCTTTAAATTGCTGAAGAGATCATAGTTTGATGTGAGGGTTGCCTCGTAGAGCTGCACTTGCAGAGGAGTCATAGGTGTGTACACCAGCAATTCCTTCTTAGGAGGAATGTCAAGATCCACATCCTTTTTCACTCGACGCAGAAAGAAAGGACTTAAAATCTAGGAAAAGGAAGGAATAAATTAATAATGCATTATATGTATGTATGTGTAGGTAGTAGGTTGGTAGACAGCAACCGCCCAGGGAGGTACTACCGTCCTGCCAAGTGAGTGTAAAACAGAAGCCTGTAACTGTTTTACACGATGGTAGGATTGCTAGTGTCTTTTTTCTGTCTCATAAACATGCAAGATTTCAGGTACATCTTGCTACTTCTACTTGCACTTAGGTCACACTACACATACATGTACAAGTATATACAATGGACCCCCGGCTTACGATATTATTTCATTCCAGAAGTATGTTCAGGTGCCGTTACTGAACAAATTTGTTCCCATAAGGAATATTGTGAATTAGATTAGTCCATTTCAGACCCTCAAACATACACGTACAAACGCACTTACATAAATTGACTTACATAATTGGTCACATTGGGAGCTGATCGTAAACCGGGGGTCCACTGTATATACATACCCCTCTGAGTTTTCTTCTATTTACTTTCTAGTTCTTGTTCTTGTTTATTTCCTCTTATCTCCATGGGGAATTGGAACAGAATTCTTCCTCCGAAAGCCATGCGTGTTGTAAGAGACAACTAAAATGCTGTGAGCAAGGGGCTAGTAACCCCTTCTCCTGTATAAATAACTAAATTTAAAAAGAGAAACTTTTGTTTTTCTTTTTGGGCCACCCTGCCTTGGTGGGATACACCCGGTTTGTTGAAAAAAAAAAACTGTATGTATGTATGATAATGAATGCTTTTTTTTTTTAACACATCGACCATTTCCCACCGAGGAAGGGTGACCTAAAAAGAAAGAAAAACCCAAAAAGAAAGAAAAAATACTTTCATATGAATGCATGAGAGTATAGTTATACCAACACTCTTATATGAGTGCAAAGCATGGTGGCGAATGTTGCAACAAGGAGAAGGCTGGAGGCAGTGGAGATGTCGTGTCTGAAGGCAATGTGTGGTGTGAATATAATGCAAAGAATTCGTAGTCTGGAAATTAGGAGGAGGTGTGGGATTACCAAAACTATTATCCAGAGAGCCGAGGAGGGGTTGTCAAGGTGGTTCAGACATGTAGAGAGGACGGAACAAAATAGAATGACTTCGAGAGTGTATGAATCTGTAGTGGAGGGTAGGCGGGGTAGAGGTCAGCCTAGGAAAAGTTGGAGGGAGGAGGTAAAGGAGGTTTTGTGTGCGAGGGGCTTGGACTTAATAGCAAGCATGCGCAAGCGTGTTAAACAGAAGCAAATAGAGACTAATGGTTTATAGGACTTGATGTGCTGTTGGAGTGTGAGCAGGGTAATATTTATGAAGGGATTCAGGGAAACCAGCAGGCCGGACTTGAGTCCTGGAGATGGGAAGTACAGTGCCTGCCTGTTAATGTTGTTGTTTTATAACTGTAGTTAAGTGCACCTCTGGCAAGACAGCGATGGAGTGAATGATGGTGAAAGTTTTTCTTTTTTGGGCCACCCTATTTTGGTGGGAAATGGCTATCAAATACGCTCATGCACACTTGCTGGAAGTCCAAGCCCCTCGCACACAAAACCTCCTTTACCCACTCCCTCCAACCCTTCCTAGGCTGACCCCTATCCCACCTTCCCTCCACTACAAATTTATACACTCTTGAAGTCATTCTGCTTTGTTCCATTCTCTTTACATATCCGAACCACCTCAACAACCCCTCCTCGGCCCTCTGGATAATAGTTTTGGTAATCCCACACCTTCTCCTAATTTCCAAACTAAAAATTCTGTGCATTATATTCACATCACACATTGCCCTCAGACATGACATATCCACTGCCTCCAGCGTTCTCTTCGTTGCAACATTCATCACCCATGCTTCACACCCATACAAGAGTGTTGGTACAACTATAATCTCATACATTCCCCTCTTTGCTTCCACGGACAAAGTTCTTTGTCTCTAGAGACTCCTAAGTACACCACCCACCCTTTTCCCCTCATCAATTCTATGATTCACCTCATCCTTCATAGACCCATCTGCTGACACGTCCACTCCTAAATATCTGAATACATTCACCTCCTCCATACTCTCTCCCTCCAATCTGATATCCAATCTTTCATCACCTAATCTCTTTGTTATCATCATAACCTTATTCTTTCCTACATTCACTTTTAATTTTCTTCTTTTACATACCCTACCAAATTCATCCACCAACCTCTGCAACTTCTCTTCAAAATCTCCCAAAAGCACAGTGTCATCAGTAAAGAGCAACTCTGACAACTCCCACTTTGTGTTTGATTCTTCATCTTTTAACTCCACACCTCTTGCCAAGACCCTTGCATTCACTTCTCTTATAACCCCATCTATAAATATATTGAACAACCATGACATCACACATCCTTGTCTAAGGCCTACTTTTACTGGGAAATAATCTCCCTCTCTCCTACATACTCTAACCTGAGCCTCACTTTCCTCGTAAAAACTCTTCACTGCTTTCAGTAACCTACCTCCTGTACCATACACCTGCAACATCTGCCACATTGCCCCCCTATCCACTCTGTCATATGCCTTTTCCAAATCCATAAATGCCACAAAAACCTATTTACCCTTATCTAAATACTGTTCACCTATATGTTTCACTGTAAACACTTGGTCTACACACCCTCTACCTTTCCTAAAGCCTCCTTGTTCATTTGCTATCCTACTCTCCATCTTACTCTTAAATCTTTCAATAATAACTCTACCATACAATTTACCAGGTATACTCAACAGACTTATTCCCCTATAATTTTTGCACTCTCTTTTATCCCCTTTGCCTTTATACAAAGGAACTATGCATGCTCTCTGCCAATCCCTAGGTACCTTACCCTCTTCCATACATTTATTAAATAATAGCACCAACCACTCCAAAACCATATTCCCACCTGCTTTTAACATTTCTATCTTTATTCCCTCAATCCCAGCTGCCTTACCCCCTTTCATTATATCCAGTGCCTCAGGAACTTCCCCCACACTTGCAACTGACTCTTCCTCACTCCTACAAGATGTTATTCCTCCTTGCCCTATACACAAAATCACAGCTTCCCTATCTTCATCAATATTTAACAATAGTTCAAAATATTCTCTTGAGCTTCCCGATACCTCTAACTCTTCATTTAATAACTCTCCTCTCCTATTTTTAACTGTCAAATCCATTTGTTCCCTAGGCTTCCTCAACTTATTAATCTCACTCCAAAACTTTTTATTATTTTCAACAAAATTTGTTGATAACATCTCACCCACTCTCTCATTTGCTCTCTTTTTACATTGCTTCGCCACTCTCTTAACCTCTCTTTTTCTCTACATATACTCTTCCCTCCTTGCATCACTTCTACTTTGTAAAAACCTCTCCCATGCTAACTTTTTCTCCCTTACTACTCTCGTTACATCATTCCACCAATCGCTCTTCTTCCCTCTCGCATCCACTTTCCTGTAACCACAAACTTCTGCTGAACACTCTAATGCTACATTCTTAAACCTACCCCATACATCTTCGACCCCATTGTCTATACTCTCACTAGCCCATCTATCCTCCAATAATTGTTTATATCTTACCCTAACTGCCTCCTCTTAGTTTATACACCTTCACCTCTCTTCTATTTTCCTTGTATCCCATCTACCTTTTACTCTCACTGTAGCTACAACTAGAAAGTAGTATGATATATCTGTGGCCCCTCTATAAACATGTACATCCTGAAGTCTACTAAACAGTCTTTTATCCACCAATACATAGTCCAACAAACTGCTGTCATTACACCCTACAAAATGTTTCTTCTTTTGGTTACCTCTACCTTGGTAGGAAATTGATGATGTGGTATAAAAAAAAATGGCAGTTTAACAACCTGACTTGAGAACTTATTCAGAACATTTCATTTTTAATGTAAAGGCTTATTTCCATACTAAATAGGCCTAACCCTAACAGTTTTTCTCCATGTGTATTTAGAATTTGCTTTTATAACATCTTTCTTTCTTTCTTTCTTTCAACGTACCAGCCGTATCCCACCGAGGTGGGGTGGCCCAAAAGGAAAAACAAAAGTTTCTCCTTTCAAATTTAGTATTATATACAGGAGAATGGGTTACTAGCCCCTTGCTCCCGGCATTTTAGTCGCCTCTTACGACATGCATGGCTTACGGAGGAAGAATTCTGGTCCACTTCCCCATGGAGCTTTTATAACATATAGTACTTTTACAGTACTGTATATAAATTTATATGCCTCCAATCTGAAATAAGGAAGGAACACCGCAACTGTATTACTCTACTCTACTCGAGTTGTGGCATAACATCCGATGGCACTGATGAGGACCTCGTCTGGATTGATCGTGATTCTTACTTCAGAACACTCAGAAACAGCTCACCAAGTGATGAAATTATAGATGCTAAGCCACCATAAACTTCACCTCTTCTCAATTACATTCTCACCTTCATAAGAGTGGAAATGACATGTTTTTCTTTCTCCTGATGAATTATCTTCTCATCACTTCCATCCTCCATCATGTCTGTAACATCCAACCAGGACTCAAAAACATCTAGTGAGTCAAATATATCTGGCATTAAGAAGTTAAGGAGGCCCCACAATTCTGCAAGATTGTTCTGCAGTGGTGTCCCAGTCATCAGCAGGCGATTTGTTGAAGGGTATGTGTTCAGTGCCCTAACAAGGTTTAAAAATGTCTTAACTCACATGCTCAGTAAATTTATTTCACTGAAACTAAAAACAAGATTATCCTTACATTTTTACCAAGGATCAATAAATTTATTGAATTTATAAGTTATCACCTCTATAAAATAAAGCTGACTAGATAATAGCTCTTATTACAACAAAGCTGTGAGCTGTTTATTATCATAGTTGTAAGTTACACAGTGCTGAGAGAATGAGAATCAATCAGATTTAATTCAATGAAGGGAAAAGTAGCTCCAATTCCTTGGATAAAAAGCCTTCAAGAATATCAAAGCACCATCCTTTGAACAGGGATGCCAGCTTAACAGCATAAAAGGAACAGGAAATCTAGAATCCAGACTCTCCTGGATATATATAAACACACAAACACACACACACACTAATAGTAAGCAGCAGTGACCCACCTCTGTCCTGCCACACACATGTACCATGCACGTACACATGCATGCACGCACGCACACGCACACGCACACACACACACACACACACACACACACACACACACTCACACTCACACTCACACACACACATACTCTCACTCACTCACTCTCACACTCACACTCACACACACACACACACACACACACACACACACACACACACACACACACACACATTCTCACACACACATTCTCACACACACACTCACACACACACACACACACACACACACACACACACACACACACACACACACACACACACACACACCACACGCAGGGGTCAGTCCTAGGACCAGTGCTGTTTCTGGTATTTGTGAACGACATGTACACCGTGTATGTTAGGCCCATATTGGAGTATGCGGCACCAGTTTGGAACCCACACCTAGCCAAGCACGTGAAGAAACTAGAGAAAGTGCAAAGGTTTGCAACAAGACTAGTCCCAGAGCTAAGAGGTATGTCCTACGAGGAGAGGTTAAGGGAAATCAACCTGACGACACTGGAGGACAGGAGAGATAGGGGGGACATGATAACGACATACAAAATACTGAGAGGAATTGACAAGGTGGACAAAGATAGGATGTTCCAGAGATTGGACACAGTAACAAGGGGACACAGTTGGAAGCTGAAGACACAGATGAATCACAGGGATGTTAGGAAGTATTTCTTCAGCCACAGAGTAGTCAGGAAGTGGAATAGTTTGGGAAGAGATGTGGAGGCAGGATCCATACATAGCTTTAAGCAGAGGTACGATAAAGCTCATGGTTCAGGGAGAGTGACCTAGTGGCGACCAGTGAAGAGGCGGGGCCAGGAGCTTGGACTCGACCCCTGCAACCTCAACTAGGTGAGTACAACTAGGTGAGTGCACATGCACACACACACACACATATTCAGGGAGCAGAGAGAGAGAGGACTTAGTAGCGACAAGTTAAGAGGCGGGGCCAGGAGCTGAGTCTCGACCCCTGCAACCACAATTAGGCGAGTACACTCACACACACTCACACTCACTCTCACACTCACTCACACTCACTCTCACTCACTCTCACACTCACTCTCACACTCACTCACACTCACTCTCACTCTCACTCATACTCTCTCACTCTCACTCACTTTCACTCTCTCACTCACTCTCACTCTTTCAACAAGTCGGACATCTCCCACCAAGGCAGGGTGACCCAAAAAGAAAGAAAATCCCCCAAAAGAAAATACTTTCATCATCATTCAACACTTTCATCTCACTCATACATAATCACTGTCTTTATAGAGGCGCACAGATACGACAGTTTGTAAGTCCCTCCAAACTGTCAATATCTATACACATATACATGTATATGTACACGCACACACAGTGCAGGTGGATGTATACACACAATGCAGATGTATATATACAATACACAGTGTAAGTGAATATATCATGTTTATGGATATCAATTTGCACATGCAGCAAAACATATTAATAAAAAATACACTTACTTTGTGAGAAGACATTTGTAGTTTCTGAGCCTGTGGCCTTCATCTACACAAATATAGCGCCACTGATGCTTATTTAGGAATTTTGCATCACGAATAGCAACCTGTGAGTGAGTTTACACAATAATTTAGTAACATTCAAGCAATGCATAAAGAATCTGGCAGTTGTGATAATACCTGGATATTCTAATACAATAACATGTAAAAGCAACTCAGTCATTATTTTACTTTTTTTTTTACCCTTTTCTTTAGAACACCGTCTATTTCCCACTAAGGAAGGGCAACCCAAGAAAAAAAAAAAGGAAACATTCACCATCACTCATTCAATAGCTGCCTTGCCAGCGGTGTGCAGACATCACAATTCAAGTGACCCTCAGAACAGTAACGTCCCCATCCCTCCTTCATAGTGTAGGCACTTTACTTCCTGCCACCAGGACTCAAGACTTTCCACACAGAATTTATACACCATCTTGGTTATCCTATTCTCCATCCTCTCAATGTCCAACCACCTCAACAGACAACAATCCCTCTGCCCTCTGGATAATGTTTTATAACCTCATGTCTTCTAATTTCTATGCTCAATTTTTTTTGCATAATATTCCCACCCCATACAGCTCTCAAACATATTTCAAGTGTCTCCAGCCTCTGCCTCACTAACATTTACAGCCCATGTACCAGAGTATAGTGATACCAACTCATATAAATAAATGGATTGGTATCACTATACTCTAGTACATTCCTCTTTTTGTCTCCATAGCTACACCTCTCTCTCCACAGAAATCTTAACACTAATCTTTTTTTCCATTCATCTATTCAGTCGTTCACCTCATCTTTTATAGACCCATTTGCCAACATGTTCACTTCCCAACTATCTAAATGCACTCTACTTTCCCTATCCTCCCTTCTTCCAATCCAATACCCAATTTTTCACTGCCTAAACTTTCTGTTACTTTAATTATCCTGCTTTCATGTGTTCACTTTTAATTCCATTTACACACTCAGGTAGTAGGTTGGTAGACAGCAACCACCCAGGGAAGTACTACCGTCCTGCCAGATGACTGTGAAACAAAAACCTGTAACTGTTTTGCATGATGGTAGGATTGCTGGTTTCTTTTTCTGTCTCATAAACACGCTAAGATAACAGGGATATCTTGCTACTCCTACTTACACTTTGGTCACACTTCACAGACACGCACATGCATATATATATATACATACATCTAGGTTTTTCTCTTTTTTCTAAATAGCTCTTGTTCTTTTTTATTTCTTCTATTGTCCATGGGGAAGTGGAAAAGAATCTTTCCTCCGTAAGCCATGCGTGTCGTATGAGGCGACTAAAATGCCGGGAGCAATGGGCTAGTAACCCCTTCTCCTGTATACAATTACTAAAAAAGAGAAGAAGAAAAACTTTATAAAACTGGGTTGCTTAAATGTGCGTGGATGTAGTGCGGATGACAAGAAACAGATGATTGCTGATGTTATGAATGAAAAGAAGTTGGATGTCCTGGCCCTAAGCGAAACAAAGCTGAAGGGGGTAGGAGAGTTTCAGTGGGGGGAAATAAATGGGATTAAATCTGGAGTATCTGAGAGAGTTAGAGCAAAGGAAGGGGTAGCAGTAATGTTAAATGATCAGTTATGGAAGGAGAAAAGAGAATATGAATGTGTAAATTCAAGAATTATGTGGATTAAAGTAAAGGTTGGATGCGAGAAGTGGGTCATAATAAGCGTGTATGCACCTGGAGAAGAGAGGAATGCAGAGGAGAGAGAGAGATTTTGGGAGATGTTAAGTGAATGTATAGGAGCCTTTGAACCAAGTGAGAGAGTAATTGTGGTAGGGGACTTGAATGCTAAAGTAGGAGAAACTTTTAGAGAGGGTGTGGTAGGTAAGTTTGGGGTGCCAGGTGTAAATGATAATGGGAGCCCTTTGATTGAACTTTGTATAGAAAGGGGTTTAGTTATAGGTAATACATATTTTAAGAAAAAGAGGATAAATAAGTATACACGATATGATGTAGGGCGAAATGACAGTAGTTTGTTGGATTATGTATTGGTAGATAAAAGACTGTTGAGTAGACTTCAGGATGTACATGTTTATAGAGGGGCCACAGATATATCAGATCACTTTCTAGTTGTAGCTATACTGAGAGTAAAAGGTAGATGGGATACAAGGAGAATAGAAGCATCAGGGAAGAGAGAGGTGAAGGTTTATAAACTAAAAGAGGAGGCAGTTAGGGTAAGATATAAACAGCTATTGGAGGATAGATGGGCTAATGAGAGCATAGGCAATGGGGTCGAAGAGGTATGGGGTAGGTTTAAAAATGTAGTGTTAGAGTGTTCAGCAGAAGTTTGTGGTTACAGGAAAGTGGGTGCAGGAGGGAAGAGGAGCGATTGGTGGAATGATGATGTAAAGAGAGTAGTAAGGGAGAAAAAGTTAGCATATGAGAAGTTTTTACAAAGTAGAAGTGATGCAAGGAGGGAAGAGTATATGGAGAAAAAGAGAGAAGTTAAGAGAGTGGTGAAGCAATGTAAAAAGAGAGCAAATGAGAGAGTGGGTGAGATGTTATCAACAAATTTTGTTGAAAATAAGAAAAAGTTTTGGAGTGAGATTAACAAGTTAAGAAAGCCTAGAGAACAAATGGATTTGTCAGTTAAAAATAGGAGAGGAGAGTTATTAAATGGAGAGTTAGAGGTATTGGGAAGATGGAAGGAATATTTTGAGGAATTGTTAAATGTTGATGAAGATAGGGAAGCTGTGATTTCGTGTATAGGGCAAGGAGGAATAACATCTTGTAGGAGTGAGGAAGAGCCAGTTGTGAGTGTGGGGGAAGTTCGTGAGGCAGTAGGTAAAATGAAAGGGGGTAAGGCAGCCGGGATTGATGGGATAAAGATAGAAATGTTAAAAGCAGGTGGGGATATAGTTTTGGAGTGGTTGGTGCAATTATTTAATAAATGTATGGAAGAGGGTAAGGTACCTAGGGATTGGCAGAGAGCATGCATAGTTCCTTTGTATAAAGGCAAAGGGGATAAAAGAGAGTGCAAAAATTATAGGGGGATAAGTCTGTTGAGTGTACCTGGTAAAGTGTATGGTAGAGTTATAATTGAAAGAATTAAGAGTAAGACGGAGAATAGGATAGCAGATGAACAAGGAGGCTTTAGGAAAGGTAGGGGGTGTGTGGACCAGGTGTTTACAGTGAAACATATAAGTGAACAGTATTTAGATAAGGCTAAAGAGGTCTTTGTGGCATTTATGGATTTGGAAAAGGCGTATGACAGGGTGGATAGGGGGGCAATGTGGCAGATGTTGCAAGTGTATGGTGTAGGAGGTAGGTTACTGAAAGCAGTGAAGAGTTTTTACGAGGATAGTGAGGCTCAAGTTAGAGTATGTAGGAAAGAGGGAAATTTTTTCCCAGTAAAAGTAGGCCTTAGACAAGGATGTGTGATGTCACCGGGTTTTTTAATATTTTAAGATGGGGTTTGTAAGAAAGTAAATGCGAGGGTTTTTTGGCAAGAGGCGGGATTAAAAGATAAAGAATAAACACAAAGGGGGTTTGTCACGTGCTCTTTGTGAGACCTGTGCCTGGGAGATTCTGAAGAAAAGTTGCAGAGATTGGGGGATAAATTTTTGGTGGGTTGTGCAAAAGAAAAAAATTAAAGGTGAATACAGGAAAAGAAAGGGTTTTGAGGATAAAAAAAAAGTTGGTGATAAAAAGATTGAAATATTTTGGAGGGAGGGGGAAATGGGGGGTGAAAGTATTCGATATTTGGGGTGGCGGTCAGCGGATGGGCTAAAAAGGGGTGAATCATAGAATTATGGGGGGAAAAAGAGTGATTTGGTGCATTAGGAGTCGGGGGAAACAAAGCTTTGCCCTTTGGGAGGCAAAGAGGGGAAGTATAGAGTAAGTTTTTACCAACGCTTTATTGGGTGTGAAGCGTGGGTGATGAATGTTGCAGCGGGGAAAGGTGGAGGCGGGGAGTGTCATGTCTGAGGGCAAGTGTGTGTAATTAAGCAGAGAATCGTTTTTGGGAAATTTTTAGGGGGGGTGGGGATTCCCAAAAGTTGTCCGGGGCTGGGGAAGGGGTTGTTGAGGTGGTTCGGACATGTAGAAGAATGGAGCGAAACAAAATGACTTAAGGTGTATCAGTCTGTGTGGAAGGAAGGGGGGGGTAGGGGTGGCCTGGGAAAGGGGTTGGGGGGGGGGAAAGAGGTTTTGTGTGCGGGGGCTTGGACTTCCAGCGGGCATGCGTGACGTGTTTGATAGGATGAATGGAGAAAAATTTTTTTTAAATATTGACGTGCGTGGATTTTGGGACAAAGTAACATTTATGAAGGGATCGGGGAAACCGGCGGCCCGGACTTGATCTGGAGTGGGAAGTACAGTGCCTCACTCGAAGGAGGGTGTTAATGTTGCATTTTAAAAAATGTGTGAAAACCCCCCCTTTCGGGCAAGACAGTGATGGAGTGAATGAGGGTGAAAGTTTTTCTTTTTCGGGCCACCCGCCTTGGGGGGAATCGGGGGGTTTTTTTAATAAAAAAAAATAATAAATTAACACCTCCAAATCTTCCACAACCTTTGTGATTTTCTTCGAATCTCCCAAAAAAAATTGGTCATGGCAAAGAAAAAACTTACTTTCCCCACATCTTATCAGATTCATTAATTTTTTCTCGCCCAAAAACCCCAACACAAAACTTATTTTTACAACCCATCCAGAAATATATTAAACACTAGGTTAATCACTGTCTTTTTTAAGGACACTTTTCTGGAAATGGTACTTTTTTCTCACAATCTAACCTGAGCCTCACTCAAAAAATTCTACGTTTTTCCAAAAATGCTTTTACCCATTTTTTAAACATTTAAAAACTCGCCCATTGCACATATCTATCCCTTTTTTAAAATTTTTAAAATTTAGAAAAATTTATTATTGATAGATTTTACACTCTTTCAAATAATGTGCAAAAAATTTTTTAAAATCCATTTAAAAATGCATATTAACTTTTTTTTTTTTTTTACCAATATTCTTTGGGGGGAAATGGAAAAAAAATCTTCCTCTGGCTTCATGCGTGTAAAAAAGGAAACTAAAAGCTGGGAAAAGGGGGCAAAACCCC